TTGATTATTAAAATGGTTTAAGCTAGTGCCTACCCTTCTTATGGTTTTAGTGGGTGAGCTGAGTTGAGAGTGCTGCGATTCTGAGTCGGTTAATTGATTAATTTGTTGCCGACTTAGTGCGTCTGCAACTATGTTTTGAGAACCTGGTTTGTATACCAATTTGGCACCGTATTCTTCTATTTGGTTTTTCCACCTTTTTAGTTTATTATTAGGGTTCTTCCCTGAAATAGAGTAGGTTAAGGACTGATGATCCGTGTAGATTGTAAGGTCTGATCGTCCATATAAATAGTTCCTGAGTTTTTGTAGTGCCCAAATTATGGCTAATAACTCTTTTTCGTTCGTGCTATATTTTTGTTCCGTCTCGCTTAGTGTTCTGGATATAAAACAAATGGGATTTCTACCTTGGGATAACACAGCTCCTACACCCAGAGAAAAAACAACATAAAATAAAAAAAAAACGATATTGATTCAATAAGAAACATTAACGAAAGTCTAGTAATGTCGAAAATTCTTATTTCAATACAGCACAACATTATTTTAATGTTGCGCAATATCCAACGTATTTAATATTTTTCGGCATTGATTTAATATTTGATTCTTATCGAATTGATTTGTCGGTTTATTGAATCAATATGAAAGAAATATTAAATTAATAATGAGCCAATTATTAATGTTAAATAAAACGTTATTAAATTAAAAACGTACGTTATTAAATTAAAAACGCACGTTATTAAATTAAAGACGCACGTTATTAAATTAAAAACGTACGTTATTAATATAAATTACGAAATTGTAGACCCCTTCCCCTCCTTTACTACCCCCTTTAAGGAAATAAAAACACAATATAATTTACAAAATAGATCAAATTTAATTCAAAAGATTTCATGAAAGTACAATGTAACAACTATGCTAAATATTTTTGTCTTAAGCTCGGAACACTTTGACGACAGCAAGCGACAAGCAGCATCTGTCAAATTTTAAATACACACGTTCTTACGGACACAATTATTTTGACGACAGCACGACATCTTGGCTGCAGGGCTGCAATTGTCGACGTCGCCAAATTAAATCTATTTCTAATTTTGCCGGCGACAATGAGTAGATGTAGTGCTGCAAAATTAAATTGTCGCAAAATTAATCACATATTCTTGATTGTTCATGTTTTTCTTATTTACTTAAATAAAAATACACAATTTGTGAAATAAATATACCAAAATGTCAAACTTTAAAATCAGCTGTTTGCTATGTTGCTGAGGTCTTCAAAATGTTTAAGAAGCTGGCTTCAAGGCGACATTTGTCGACAAAATGATGTCGCTGTCGTTACGTCGTGAAGTTGCAGTCGTCAAAGTGTTCCGAGCTTTACATATGTTTTACCATTACATAGCGGATATAGATGTAGAGGCGAAGTATTTAATTCTGAAAATGTTTTTATTTCTAAACTTTCGTTTAAAGAACCAATTTCGTACGATTGGAAATGTGAACAAAATTTTTTTATGAAAACTTCTTGACATAAAATATAAGCTATGCTATTTTGATACAAAAACATTTTTATTTTATATAACTTAAATGCGCTGCTATGTAAGTTCGTGGACAAATAATAATTTTTTATGTATTTCGTTCCACTATAAAAAAGTTCATAACAATATTGTATTCTTTTCAGGTCGATATCGTATGTTTGAGTTATTTTAGAGAAATAGTGTTGTTTGGTAATATCAATAAATTCTTCTGATTGAAAGCTTATGATAGGTTCGATTCCATTTTCATAATCTAGCAAGAATTTCGAAAATTTAATTCCCGATTTTATTGCTAAAGAATAAGGTTGGTTTATTCTTGAAGTTGTATTGTTTAAGTATGCCTTAGCTTCTTTATGTTTTCCTTCAAACCGCATCGACCAAACATATTTTAAAGGCCCACATTTTCTTATTGCTGTACAATAATGCACAAGGAAGTGGTGTTTAGGCTTTAGTGCACCGTAAAGTTTAATATAAGTTGAATAGTGTGCTTCAATTAAATCTTGCAAGACAACCAAGTCTCCCTCCAAGTATGATGGTCTCAAAATGTAATCAATAATTTTCAATAAAAGAATAAATAATTCCCAGTGACAATTACCCACTGGAATTAAATCTCCTATCATAAGGGGTAAAAAGTGAACGAAACTTTTTGTTTCACTTGCAGTCATTTTTAGATTAAATGATTTCAATCTCTCAATTTGCAACGGCATTGAACTGTTACCTATTTCCGTTTCACCGAAAGGAAAAAGTTGCTTCCTACTATTTATTTGGTCTATACATATAACTTTATCCTTTATAAGGCCCAACAATATATTGCAGATGTCATAAGAACAAATTCCTTCGAAAACATCGTGCATTACATCAAAAGTAATATTTTCTGTGACATGAAAATTGTTCAGTCTGTTAAAAACACAATCAGACTTGATGCCTGTTTCTTGGAAATTATCTTTTAAGAGATCTTCGTTATAGTTATTTCTGTTTCGCAAAAATTGCTCATACTGCCTTACATCAGTTTTAGTTTCATCTTTCGTTCGTTTGCAAAAGCGGCAATATCGTTTTGAATTAAAAGACTGGACATAGCCAAACGCAGCATTGATAGCTACTCCTACTACTAAACCGAGGATAAAGTGTACTTTACGCTGCTCATTGTTGATAACAAAATCTAAACCTTCTTCAAGAACCTTTATGTTTTCTACGAGATTATGAAATGATTTTTCATATCCACAAACTTTCAAATTACAGCTTGATATGAATGCCCCATGAAAAATAAATTCAAGCTTCGACAGCAAATATTGCGGCATAGTAGGGAAACTAAAGTAGCACCCACAAATTGAGAAAGTATGCGTACCGAGAGCATTGTTGATTTGAAAATCATCAAAATATAAAATATAGGGAATTATTAAACCTGAACCAAATCGGGCATTAATTGCCTTAAATATTTGACCGCTGGCGAAATTTTGCAAAAAAGGTTCTTGAGAATACCGTTTTGTATTTTCCAAAGTAATGTAAAAGATTTGGTATTTCAAAAATTGACTTAAATTGAAAATATAAGGGCATAATGTAGATATCAGAAGAAGTGGATGCTAGAACGGGATTACCATGAGCAGTGGTTT